ATAGACATTAAGCAAATAAGCACATACCTCAGCAAGACAGCTTCTGATTGTGCTAAGGGTTATGAAGGGAATAAAACAGGGTAGTATAATACAGGGTGCATATACCTTTCCATGCCTTAGTTGACTCATCTGAAAAATGGAAATAATAAGAGAAGTCTACAGTTCCAAAACCCACAACTGAACACTTTGCCTGAACTCAGTTAATTGCAAACATGATCTGATCTGAACAAATATGGAGAAGAATCTCAATCTGAACTGAATGAGTTATTTATTTATTTATTTTTAACGATCTCATTTACTGGGCATAATTCTATGCATCACTGCAGATACTTTTGTGTCTTTAAGTAAGGCCTCAATAGGTATTGCATAATGTAGGGTCCATGAATCATATTACCTTCTAAAATCTGAAAAAAATTGAATTCCACAACACGTGTCACCCCCAAATACTTTGAATGAGAGATTGAAGACTTGTTGTACCTATGTCATGGGTTATTATAAGGATTAAATGAGGTAATATGCATAAAGCACTTAAAATGATGCTTGGTATGTGGTAAGTACTGCCTAAGTTAACTGCTATTACTATGATTATCATTCTTTTTTTTTTTTTGAGTCGGAGTCTCGACTGTCATCCAGGCTGGAATGCAGTGGCATGCTCATGGTCACTGCAGCCTCAACCTGCTGGGCTCAGGTGATCCCTCTGCCTCAACCTTCCAAGTAACTGGAACCACAGGTGCGTGCCACCATAGCCAGCTAATTTTTTGATTTATTGTAGAAATGACATCTCGCCAATTTGCCCAGGCTGGTCTCGAACCCCTGAACTCAGGCTATCCTCTTGCCTCCGTCTCCCAAAGTGCTGGGATTACAAGAGTGAGCCACCATGCCCAACTACGATTATCACTATTCTTACATGGAAAGGTATTTAGATAAGTTGGTCAGGGAATGCCTCTCTGAGGATGTGTCACTTGAACAGACAACCAAGCAGTGGTAATGGCCTGTCCTGTGGGAGGAGGAGGAAAGAGATTTCAGGAAGAGGAAACAGCAAGTTCCAAGACTAAGTTGGTTACAAGCCTGGCTCGAATGCAGAACAGAAAACAGGCCAGATGGCTGATGTGTGGTAAAAGAGATGAAAGATGGTTCAAGGTCAGAGAGGTAGGCTGGATTCAGAACATGCTCAATATGAGCAATGGTAAAGACCTTGGATTTCATTTGAACTATGAAAGGAAGCTGTTGTAGTTGATCTGATTCAAGTTTATAAAGAATGCTCTGATGCTAGTTAGAAATGAATTGTAGAGGAGAGGGGAAGCAGGGAGACCAATTTGGAGTTTATCACAGTGGTCCAGGTAAGACCAAATAACTAATTGGAGTAGGGAAGTGGTAGTGGATAGGGAGAAAAGTGAGCAAGTGCAAGAAAAAAGTTTAGAAATAAGGAAGGAAAAGGATTTCTGATTAATTTTGCCTTCTAATATATAACATGTCAGTGGGTAGAGGCTGAACATTTCACAATCGTCTCAAGTGTGTTCAGGTCAGTGGTACACTGGACCTAGTTCATAAAGCCTTGTGAAAGCAATTTTGCTCATTTTTCCTGGCTCTGCATTCAATGACCTCACATTGATACCTCAAAATTGACCACGGTGGGCATATTTACAATATAGAAATTGACAAATGCTACAAATCAAGACTTAAGAAATCAGCAATTTTTTTTGAGTTAGGGGGAAGCTGATTGTTAAACATTTACCAGCACACCACTGGTTAAGGTGACTTGATTTTTCTATAACCAAACTTGTTTTCATTTTACAGCCTCCATTTTCCCTGATTACAAAAATACTTAAACTGGGCACATCTTGGAAAACTCAGTTTGATGATTGTTGTCTCAATTGCTTCATGTTTTTAACTCAGTTAATTCAGGAATCCCCTTACTTTTCCCCAGAGTTTCTAATATTTTCGTGGACATGGGGTGGAAAGAAGGTGCCTGGTTCAGAAGGGTCCTTTATCCATGTTGGCCCCCTCTGGAATCCAACTCATCTCCCTGCTTCATAGCATCTCTCTTGGCAGTGAGACTTCCTATTGCCTTAAGATAGTGGGATCCATGAATCCATTGTGTCTTCTTTTTTTATTTTTTACTTTTTATAAAGTCTTGCTATGTTGCCTAGGCTGGTCTTGAACTCCTGGGCTCAAGTGACCCTCCCACCTCAGCCTCCCAAAGAGCTGGAATTACAGGTGTGAACCACTGCACCCAGCCCATCATGTCTTCTGACAGAAGCATGGCTGGGGGCGGGGGCGGAGTGCAGGTACTGTGATCCTGTTATCAGGGACCATAAAAATGGCCCACTCTACTTTTCTCCTTTTTCTTTTCTAAAGCCCGTTCTGCTATCTTGACTCAGTTCTTCCCCTAGTAGTGAACATTTCACCAAAATCTATGAGTAAAATAGATGCCCTAGAAAAATGTATCTTATTTATCCAAGGACTTCTTGTTCCTCCTGGCAAGAGAATCTCAAGCTGAGAGGCTTACAAGTCAAGGAACTTGGGTTTAGCGACTAGAGATGTTGGTAGAGGAGTTAGATCAGATAAGCTTAGACAAGTAGATAGGGGACAAATTATAGAATACTTTGGATGCCATGATAAAAAGCTTGAACTCATACTGAAAAACAATAATTTTTAATAAAACAAGAAAACCATTTTGAGGAGTTAAGAACAAGATAATGACTGATTAAAGTTGGGGGGCTTGATGGATAGGTGGATTGGGAGAGCAAGAGACTAGAACAAGGATGAGGCTTTGGAGTGGATCAAGGGGTGGAGGAATCTCAGCTAATATGGTGTCAGCTAAAATGGTAAAGCAAGGAGGATGTTGAGAACAAGGAAAGTCAACTGGACTCAGTGAATGATTTTAATGATGGGGAGGAAGACACAGGGTGGTGAAACAAAAAGTCTAATTTGTACCTCCAACGCCAACAAACATGTAAAGATGGATGGAAAAGCCCTTTGAGATCCTTCTGAGCCATCTTGCATTGGAGAAAAAGAGAGCTGAGGGAAATCATGCTTATTTGCCTCCTATTAGAGGAATTAGGGAAATAGGCATTGGTTCCTCAGATATCAACATTGGTTGGTTCATTCTCTTGGGAGGACAGAGGCATTAGTTGAGCTAGAAGTCAATGGTAGAGACACAGGCTGGATCATTTCGTGTATGAGTACTGGTTCAACTAAAACTAGTGTTCTGGAGTAAAATATTGATAGCAATCTTGAAACTTGAGAGCAAGCCATGGTTAAACCACTCTCCAAGGCAGAACCAGTTGAAGAGAATATGATGACTACGAAAGCTCTTCAGAGCTTCCCATATTCCATTATAAGGCCTTTCTCTCCAAGGCCCCAATGTCTGTCATACTAAACCTGGATGCCCAAGAATCACCTTTATGGGTAGGTTCACATATGTCTCAGTTTGCCTGAGAGACCCTTGGTTTACACCTATAGTCTTGGTATAATTGTTGACAGCCCCCCTTCACTCCTGTCAGTATTCTGCTTGGTCAATTATATGGTTGCTCTGATTATGCATCACCCAGGCAGTGCTCTGGTTTTACTACTCTCTCCTCCCTAAATGTATGTAACATAAACCCAATGTGTAGGGAAAACACTCATCCTAAAATTCTCTTGGAGGTGATTTCCAAAAGCAGTCCAAGAGGAGAACCAGATTATAGAAGGACAGTGCCAGGCCGGGCATGGTGACTCACATTTGTAATCTCATCACTTTGAAAAGCCGAGGTGGGAGGATCGCTTGAGCCCAGGAGTTCGAGACCAGCCCGGGCAAAATAACAAGACCTTGTCTCAAAAAAAAAAAAGTAAAGAAAAAAGTGCCGGGCATAGTGGCATGTACCTGTAGTCACAGCTACTTGGACGGTTGAGGCAGGAGGATCGTTTGAGTCCAGGAGGTCGAGGCTGCCGTGAGCCATGATTGCGCCACTGTACTCCAGCCTGGATAACAGAGTGAGAACCTGACTGAAGAAAAAAAAGAGAAAATATTATTTTAGAAGAGCAGTGCCAGGAAATTGGGTGACCTTGGCCCAATCAGTTAATATTGCTCAACTATGTCTTCATTGGTAAAATGGGAATCTTAGAATATTTATGCAAACCAGGCAAAGTGGGGACCAACGGGAGGCCCAGACTTTACCTGTTCAATGCCCACTTGTATACCTAATCCTGAATTGTACCCCACATCTTTAAAATAAAATTTAAAAAAGAATATTTATGACACTCAGTTATTATGAAAGACTCTTGCAATGTGTACCAGAACAGGCTTAACAAGTAAACAATTGCCCTAAAGTCTTAACATGTTATTTTTCCCAAGTGTGTCTGCATTTTAACATCCCTTCACCCTCCTAGATTCAGACTTCGGCATCTAATCAATGACTCTGCCGTTGTATCGTCCTACATAACAACAAATCAGAAAATGGTTAGAAGCTTAAAAGCCATTTCATTGAACAGCTAAAATGCTAAAAGCTAAATGTAACTCAATCATTATAAATCTCAATGATTGACACATACAGCCATAGGGTGGAGGGGTGCTGTTTAGACAGTTGAAAACAAGACTTGAGAGGTGGCTCACGCCTGTAATCCCAGCACTTTGGGAGGTGGAGGACAGAGGATTGCCTGAGCCCACGGGTTCGAGACCAGCCTGGGCAATTTGACGAGACCTCATCTCCACAATAAATTTTTAAAACATTAGCTGGGCGTGGTGGCACACACCTGTAGTTCCAGCTACTTGGAAGGTTGAAGCGGAAGGATCTCCTGAACCCAGCAGGTCAAGGCTGCGATGGCCGTGAGTGTGCCACTGCACTCTAGCCTGGGCGACAGAGTGAGACTCCGACTCAAAAAAAAAAAAAAAGAGAAGAAAAGAAAACAAGACTTGAATAGTTTATTTGTAAAATGTTGCAAAAGAGAGGCAGCAAATGGCAATTTTCAATTCTGATTCTTGGTATGTTTGTTATATTGGCTTGTTTTTATACTTTCAGATATTTCCAATGTGGACATTGAAGAGACAATTTCTCATCCTTTTTAACATAACCCTAATTTCCAAACTCCTTGGGGCTAGATGGTTTCCTAAAACTCTGCCCTGTGATGTCACTCTGGATGTTCCAAAGACCCATGTTATCGTGGACTGCACAGATAAGCATTTGACAGAAATTCCTGAAGGTATTCCCACCAACGCCACGAACCTCACCCTCACCATTAACCACATACCAGACATTTCCCCAGCGTCCTTTCACAAACTGGACCATCTGGTAGAGATCGATTTCAGATGCAACTGTGTACCTATTCGATTGGGGTCAAAAAACAACATATGCACCAAGAGACTTCAGGTTAAACCCAGAAGCTTTAGTGGACTGGCTTATTTAAAATCCCTTTACCTGGATGGAAACCAGCTTCTAGAAATACCTCAGGGTCTTCCACCCAGCTTACAGCTTCTCAGCCTTGAGGCCAACAACATTTTTTTCATCAAAAAAGAGAATCTAACAGAACTGGCCAACTTAGAAATACTCTACCTAGGCCAAAACTGCTATTATCGAAATCCTTGTAACGTTTCATATTTAATCGAAAAAGATGCCTTCCTCGACCTGCCAAAGTTAAAAGTGCTCTCCCTGAAAGATAACAATGTCACAACTGTCCCCACTGTTTTGCCGTCCACTTTAACAGAACTGTATCTCTATAATAACATCATCGCACACATCCAAGAAGATGATTTTAAGAACCTCCGCCAATTGCAAATTCTTGACCTAAGTGGCAATTGTCCTCGCTGTTATAATGCTCCCTATCCTTGTACACCCTGTGAAAAGAATTATCCCCTAAAGATCGATTTACGTGCTTTTGATGCATTGACAGAATTAAAAGTGTTACGTCTACACAGTAACTCTCTTCAGTCTGTGTCTCCAAGGTGGTTCCAGAACCTTACGAACCTTGAGGAACTAGATCTTTCCCAAAACTTCTTGGCCAAAGAAATTGGGGATGCCAAATTCTTGCATTTTCTTCCCAATCTTGTCCAGTTGGACCTGTCTTTCAATTTTGATCTTCAGGTCTATCGTGCATTTATGAATCTATCACATACATTTTCTTTACTGCAAAACCTGAGAATTTTACGGCTCAAAGGATACGTCTTTAAAGAACTGAGCAGCGTTAACCTCGCCCCATTACACAATCTTCAAAATCTTGAAGTTCTTGATCTTGGCACTAATTTCATAAAAATCGCTGACCTCAGCATGTTTAAAAAATTTGATAAATTGAAAGTCATCGATCTTTCAGTGAATAAGATATCACCTTCAGGAGATTCCAGTGAAGTTGGTTTCTGCTCTAACACCAGAACTTCTGTAGACAGTCATGGACCCCAGGTCCTAGAACAGTCACATTATTTCAGATATGACGAGTATGCAAGAAGTTGCAGGTTCAAAAACAAAGAACCTTCTTCCTTCCTACCTTCTAATGAAAATTGCCACCAGTATGGACAGACCTTGGACCTAAGTAGAAATAATATATTTTTTATCAAGTCTTCTGATTTTCAGCACCTTTCTTTCCTCAAGTGCCTAAATCTGTCAGGAAATGCCATTGGTCAAACTCTTAATGGCAGTGAATTTCTGCCTTTAGCAAAGCTGAAATATTTGGATTTCTCTAACAACCGGCTTGACTTGCTCTACTCAACAGCATTTGAGGAGCTTCATGAACTGGAAGTCCTGGATTTAAGTAGTAATAGCCATTATTTTCAATCAGAAGGAATTACTCACATGCTCAACTTTACCAAGAACCTCAAGGTCCTGCAGAAACTGATGATGAACTACAATGACATCTCTACCTCCACCAGCAGGACCATGGAGAGTGAATCTCTTCGAACTCTGGAATTCAGAGGAAATCACTTGGATGTTTTATGGCGAGACGGAGATACCAGATATTTACAATTCTTTATGAATCTGCAAAAATTAGAGGAATTAGACATCTCTGAAAATTCCCTGAGTTTCTTGCCTCCTGGAGTTTTTGACGGCATGCCTCCAAATCTAAAGAATCTCTCCCTGGCCAAAAATGGGCTCAAATCTTTCAATTGGGGAAAACTCCACTTTCTGAAGACTCTGACAACTTTGGACCTCAGTCACAACCAGTTGACAACTGTCCCTGAGAGATTAGCCAACTGTTCCCGAAGCCTCGAGCAACTGATTCTTAAGAATAATCAAATCAGGCGTCTGACAAAGTATTTTCTACAAGATGCTTTCCAGTTGCGATATCTGGACCTCAGTTCAAATAAAATCCAGATTATCCAAAAGACTAGTTTCCCAGAAAATGTCCTCAACAATCTGAAGATGCTGCTTTTGCACCGTAATCGGTTTCTGTGCACCTGTGATGCTGTGTGGTTTGTCTGGTGGGTTAACCATACAGAGGTGACTATACCTTACCTGGCCACAGAGGTGACTTGTGTGGGGCCAGGAGCACACAAGGGCCAGAGTGTGGTCTCTCTGGATCTGTATACCTGTGAGTTAGATTTGACTAATCTGATTCTGTTCTCACTTTCCATATCTGGGGCTCTCTTTCTCATAGTGGTTACGACAGCAAGTCACCTCTATTTCTGGGACGTGTGGTATAGTTACCATTTCTGTAAGGCCAAGATAAAGGGGTATCAGCGTCTAGTATCACCAGACTCTTGCTATGATGCTTTTATTGTGTATGACACTAAAGACCCAGCCGTGACAGAGTGGGTTTTGGAAGAGCTGGTGGCCAAACTGGAAGACCCAAGAGAGAAACATTTCAATTTATGTCTTGAGGAAAGGGACTGGTTGCCAGGGCATCCGGTTTTGGAAAATCTTTCCCAGAGCATACAGCTTAGCAAAAAGACAGTGTTTGTGATGACAGACAGATATGCAAAGACTGAGAAATTTAAGATAGCATTTTACTTGTCCCATCAGAGGCTCATGGATGAAAAAGTAGACGTGATTATCTTGATATTCCTTGAGAAGCCCCTTCAGAAGTCCAAGTTCCTCCAGCTCCGGAAAAGGCTCTGTGGGGGTTCTGTCCTTGAGTGGCCAACAAACCCACAGGCTCACCCGTACTTCTGGCAGTGTCTGAAAAATGCCCTGGCCATGGACAATCATGTTGCCTATAGCCAAGTGTTCAAGGAAACGGTCTAATGCTCCTTTGCAAAATGTGACTGCCTAGCTTACCAAGGAGATGCCTGGCTGCCTAGATTTTCTCATAAATATTTCACCAAAAGAATGTTTTGAAATTCTCCAAGAAATGGGATTGCTCATATTAGAGGGAACGCATCAATGTCTGACTAAGGAGTTGGAAAGATGGGATTTATATAATGCACTGAGTGTTCTTTCTTAGCTCTCTGTGTCTCCATTTGCACTTGAGTCTCTCCCCTCAGCTCTTGTATAAAATACTGTTGAGCCGGGCTCGGTGGCTCAGCCTGTAATCCCGCGCCTTTGGGAGGCTGAGGTGAGTGGATTGCCTGGGCCCACAGGTTCGAGACCCGCCTGGGCAACTTGGCGAGACCTCATCTCTACAATAAATAAAAAATGAGCCGGGCGTGGTAGCGTGCGCCTGTAGTTCCAGCTACTTGGGAGGCGGAAGGATCGTCGGAGCCCAGCAGGTTGAGGCTGCGGTAGCCGGATGTGGCCACTGCACTCCAGTCTGGGCAACAGAGTGAGACTCCAACTCAAAAAAATAAAATAAAATAAAATAAATAAAATACTGTTGAGTGGCCGGGCATGGTGGCTTATGCCTGTAATCCCAGCACTTTGGGAGTCTGAAGTGGGAGGATTGCTTGAGCCCAGGAGTTTGAGACCAGCCTAGGCAATATAGTGAGACCTCGTCTCTACAAAAAATAACAATCAGAAAATAGCCAGGCGTGGTGGTGCTTGCCTGCAGTTCCAGTGACTCAAAAGACGGAGGCAGAAGAATAGCTTGAGCACAGGAGGTCAAGGCTTTGGTGAGCCGTGAGTGCGCCACTGCAGTTCAGTCTGGGCAACAGAGTGAATCCAGCTCTTACACACACACAAAGAAGGAGGAGGATGGGGACGAGGAGGAAGAGGAGGGAGGGAGGAAGGGAGAAAAATAAAATACTGTCGAGAGAAGTGTGGCAAGCAAAGGACACTGGACTCTGACTCTTCTGTAATTGTGATGATTAAATCACACACAGTCATGACATTGAGAAGAACCGCACTTCTACCCTTGACAAGTACTGCCGCGTGCAGAAATAGGGTAAAAGAATGTTCAAGCTTTGTCTGTATGACACCAAAAAGTACCAGAGTTAGTTTATGAAATAAAAACCCAGTTAACTCCTCAACCAATTGCTTCAGTGTCCTCTAACGCCCCCCGCTTCTGTGCAGACTGAGTGTTAGTGCCAGACACAGGTGTTTGGTGGTTTGGTGGCTCCACTCTTTTCCCTTGGGCTTGCTGCTGGGTTCCCCAGGAAAAGTGAGAAACATCCTCACCATCAATGGGTATGACCTACCTACAAAGGGAAAGAAATTAAAATGATCTGCCTTTATACAAAGTGATGCCCCCCACCATTAATGACAATGTACCTGTTTACATGTTTTTATTGGCACTGTAAAGTACTGTACCCAAAGTAAAATTCACTCATCTAATGAACTTTCAAACTGCTTTGTTAACTGATACCTTGTATTTGTAAATGTCTGTGACTTTGGTGCACCTATATTAGATGGTTTTGATGGTAAACCCTAAAAGAGGATGCCAAGAGCATGTATTTATTTATAGTTTTATCAGGGATGACAATTATTTGAATGACAATTATGTGGATTCCTTTCATTTGGGGTGGGAGAGGGAAGAAGAAACAGAGGTTTACAGACCTTAACACTGAAAAAGCTTCAGTTTTGCCAGGCGCGGTGGCTCACACTTGTAATTCCACCACTTTGGGAGGCAGAGGTGAGAGGATTGCCTGAGTCCAGGGGTTTGAGACCAGCCTGGGCAACTTGGCAAGACCTCATCTTTACAATAAATAAAAAAAATTAGCCTGGGCATGGTGCGCCTGTAGTTCCAGCTACTTGGAAGGCTGAGGCAGAAAGATTGCCTGAGCCCAGCAGGTCGAGACTGCAGTGGTGAGAGTACCACTGCATTCCAGACTGGGTGACAGAGTGAGACAAAAAAAGAAAAAGAAAAAGCTTGAGCTTTGAACTTTAGCTTTCATAGTCAAAACCAACAGAAAGGGCCAAGAGATTCTTAAGAGGCACATACTTTCAAATGGGTATAAATTCACATGAATTCAAAGTTTAAAACCTGGCCAATTTATTTCATGAAAGAAATTATCTGCTAAAATGTGTGTGCCATATGGGAATTAGTGTGCATGGGTTTAAATCCTAAAGCATTTTAGCTTGGAAACATTGTATTTTTCTTATATGTGAAAATGCCAAAAGTTTTACTTTAAATATAACTGTGAATACACAATATATGAATTATTTTCAAAGGACATTTAATCAGTTAATAAAGGTCACAAATTACCACATTAATCTCTGGAATACAATGGGAGGTAATTAAATTGCTAGAGTCAATGATTTCACAACTTCTGTCAGCTTTGTTTTACTTAATAGTTTCTTCTTCAGTGAAAACAAAGATAACGTTATGAAAATCAGCTTTTGGCCGTTATAATTTTTCTTCTATTAAAACACATAAGTACATAAAGTTTAAGCTATTTTGGTGATTTATAAGCCATAAATCACTTAAAGTACTTGAAGACAGTTAAAACATCTTCTGAAATGGATCTAGAGGAAGAAAAACTGAAAATAACGCAACTCAAAAACCACAGAGTATTTCGACATAAGGTTAAGGACAGTGGTTTGTTGTAGGCAAATAACCAAGAGCACACCAGCAGATGGTTTTCATTAATTTCTTTGTAATCTTGACAGGTCACTCTTTTAACTTTCTGAAGGCCCTTGCTGAAGTTTTGTAGGACTGGATCTGTTCATAGATGGCTCAGGGAAGAAGTTGCCACCTCAGGCTACCAGGAGAATGTGACGTTGAGGTCTTTACAAAGCTCTGAATGTGGGGCTCCTCCACTGATCAGCCTCTGGTTGGCCCCACCCTGGAAAGGACTCCCATATCCCCATGAATCCCACTCCACTGTCAAGGCTTGGACCCTGTCTTTTTCAACCCCAACCTTGCCAGGGAGTGTCTTTCCTCTTCAGATAGATACTGCCCAAGTAAGGATTGGGCATTTTTAGGATACAAGTCAAGGGAGGCACTAGACAGGGCTGAGAAAAGGGCAAAACAAGTGTGCAATTTTTAGGGGAGAGAGAGGATGAGTCTAACTGTGGTCCTGGTCCTGAGTCACATTCTCTCTGCCCCATTCTCATGTCTACTTCCTGCTCTGCAATGGACACTTTTTTTTTTTGTAGTCAGAGTCTCACTCTGTCGCCCAGGCTGGAGTGCAGTGGCACGCTCACAGCCACTGCAGCCTGGACCTGCTGGACTCAGGCAATCCTTCCGCTTCAGCCTTCCAAGTAGCTGGAACTACTGGCATGCACCATCACACCCAGCTAGTTTTTCTTGATTTATTGTAGAGATGCGGTCTTGCCATGTTGCCCAGGCTAGTATTGAACTCGTGAGCTCAGACAATCCTCTCACCTCAGCCTCCCAAAGTGCTGGGATTATAGGCATGAGCCACCGTGCCTGACCCATGGACACTCTTAAGTCCAGATAAATCTCTTGCATGTCGTTAGGGAATATAGAATATGTAGTGACCTGAGGACTTGGGCAACTGCGCCTATCTCCATGGAAACTGTAATGAGGGAAACAAAAACACACACTTCTTTTTTATGATGCCTTTCTGCCTCCCATAAGGCATGCTTTTTATTTACTTCCTCCTCATCTTAACCCAGGTGAACGAGAGAACCAGATTGCACATCCTGCTAGTTATTTATGGCCCAATTTTAAAATGAGGGTGGGGCTGAGACTGAATTGTTCTGCCTCCCCTTCTGCACGTGCTCAGTGAGTGGAAACACTGATCACGGGGAAGACTTAGTAGACAGACCATGGGAGCTCACTTGTCCTTGAAGCTTTGGGATACTGTGCCCCCTGGAGCAGTTAGTTGTGGCTCACGCTGCCAGCGCATCTGCTGGAAGATGGAGTTCTTGACCCTAAAGAACACTAGGAGCTATTTGTTCCATCCAAAGTCCAACAGCCATGTGGGAGGGAAACAACCAAAGAACATGATTGAGGGCACTCAAAAAGAGACGTACTTTAGAGAACACCAATACAGAAAATTAATTCATTTCACCAAGTTAATGTAAAGGAGAACAAGAGACCAACTAACCCACCAACCAAATTAGTAAAAGAGAAGTGTTAAAAAGAAAAAAAGTCCCGAACTCATGAGATTGTGTGGAAAGATTCCTGGTGACATAAGGGCCATCTGGGCCGGTGAGAATGAAATCACAACAGGACAGTTTCACACTGTTTCAGGTTTTTTTCTTCTTTCTTACCTTTCCTTCTTTGCCTCCCCCCACCCCTCAGTTTCCTGTTTTGCTCTGGACACCCACAGCAAGCCTCATGCAACACACAAGAATGAAAAGAAGGTAGCCATCGTTGCAGGTGGGTCCTGTTTAGAAGGGGTGGTTTTATGTGCACTTTTGGTTCAAAATCCGTGGCTCTCTCACACACATAGTAAATCCCCACCTGGTTCAGTGTGACCTTCTGTAATCAGCTCAGTGAAACCTTCTCTGGATGACGCAGACTGGACTCTCTGCCACATTCAAATTCTTTCTTTCTACTTATCTCAACTTTCAAGCATGGGAGTTAAGAAACTAGATACAACCCACTGCTCTGTCCTTGTCTCCTAATCCCAGGTTGCAATGTCTAACTTATTTGTCATGACATTTCAATGGTGATGTGTCTTCATATATTTTTCTCTGCCTCCTCTTGGTGACTTATATTAATTAAACATTTTGGGAAAGCTCAGACATAAAATGACTGAGGTTTGAGTTGCAGTGTTGCACAATAAACACCCTCCAAAAATAGCCTGGTGAGAACCGGAGGGAAACAGGAAGTCCTAGGGGCCTCATGGCAGTTTTCAGACATCCCTAGGTCAAAGATGAGGCAGACAGAAAATGTCTATCAGCGTTCTTCTGGCTGGTGGCAACCCCCGAGGCTAGACAGAGACAGCCAAGTAGGATGCCATGTTGTTCTTGTATGATACATAAGTGTTTGACTTCTCACTGATCAAGGCAACACCATGAGACATAGATTCCAGGAGTTTTCATAACAATGAATTGCATGAGTTGACATCTTGAACAAAAAGAAGTTAGCTCAAGAAAGAGTAACACCTCCATGAACCCACATGTGAGGCCTAGTGTCCAGGG